TCCCTCCATCCATCCATCTATCCCTCCATCCATCCATCCATCCCTTCATCCTTTTATCCATCCATCCATCAACCATCCCTCCTTCCCACCCTCCCTCATCCATCCACCATCCATCTATCCCTCCATCCATCCCTCCATCCATCCCTCCCTCCATCCATCCATCCCTCCATCCCTCCATCCATCCCTCCATCCATCCATCCCTTCATCCTTTTATCCCTCCCTCCCTCCCTCCCTCATCCCTCCTTGTGTTCACCGTTGGCTCCCTTGTCGAAGATGAGTTTGTCGTTACACTCTTGCTCTCCGTCACATCCACAGACCATCATGTCTCCGTCGTCCGCCGGCTGTGGGACCATGTGACACTGTGTGGAGGTGAAGTTCAGCAGCAGGCCGGGGTCCACGCCCTCTAGAGGCAGGGTGGGGTTATGACACATGGTGTGCACCGTCATGCTGTCGTTGTTCTTCCTCCTGAGGGAGACCAGGAACATGCATCAGTGTGTTTCCTCAAAACCTAGCTGTGTCTAATATGCATTGATGTAAATAATTGTTTTGGGTTGAGAGCAGTGCAGCGGAAAGAAGAACTGATGTGTAAGCAGAATGAGTGAACTGTGTGTATTCTCTCTTCTCAAAGACAAGAAGAAGTCAAATACAGAGGAGCACCACAAAACACATCATATTTAGACAGACTTTAGATCGAAATAATACAAAATGTTGCACAGATTCCATACATAGTTATATTAACACCATCTGTGTTTTTCAAGTGACTAAATCAATCTTCATCGTTTGATGAAGTAATTCTACATCTAACCAGCAACGACCACGACATCCGCTTCATCCACCTATTTGTTGTGTTCATGTGCACTTTATGAACACGCTGACGTCTTGTTCCGTCAGGTCTGAGTCCTGATCGATGACTATATGTGAGGAGCTCTTTGACCTGAATACAGCAGCGTTCTCTTCTTCTCTTATCTCTCTTTTCCTGCAGCTATATCTGGGAGGAACAGGAAATGAGAGGGGTGCAGCGAGCGGGATCCCGGCCAAGTTATCCAAACAAAAGCACGAATCAGCAGAAACTCTTTCCAGCGTGTTAGAGTGAAGGCGGAGTGTGAACGGGCCGACATGCTCGCTCTCACACACACAACTTCACAAATCACATTTAAAGAGACGTCCTGCATGTTGTGCGTGTTTGTGTTTCTCAGGGAGTAGAGAGAAACCACTTCAGCATGTTTCATAATGCTGATCAGCAACATGTTGAAGCAGCTCTGCTGGACTCTGCTGGACTCTGCTGGACTCTGCTGGCTCATTGATATTCCAGCATATTTATGGCACACTAAAGGCTTCCGGACATTTAGTTTTTCACTCTTTATTAAACAGAACAGATTGAAACACTCAATCATCAGCTGATGATGAACTCATGAACAGTAAAGGAGAGCGTGCTGCACATTGTGCTCAGCTGATCTCTTTTTTTGTTCACAGTATCATTAAAGGAACACTCTGATATTCTAGGAAATACACTCATTGCTGTAGTCAGGTGATACTCATAGAGATATGAAGCACCCAGCAGCTGGTTAGCTTAGCTTAGCATAAAGGCTGGAAACAGAGGGAAATAGCTAGCTTGATAAAATCCACCTACCAGCAAACAAAGCAGTTTTGTAGCGTTTTGGTTAAACTTACAATGTGTTTCTAACTATTGTTCTACCTTTTTATTGATGAGCTTATTTTAGTCTAAAGACTATAAAATACATAACAATCAATACTTATCCTAGTGTAGTGTATACTTACTACCGAGTGAGGTGAAGTAGTGGAAGATTAAATGCAGCTAAACTGTGAAGTTGTAAAAATGAAACTAAAAAGTTTGAATCAGCATTAAACACAACGAAACAAAAGAGTTCATGAACGCCAGAAGTACGTCTGAACACTGGCTCTGTGATTGGTGCACAGCAGTAAACAGCAGTAAACAACAGTAAACAGCAGTAAACAGCAGTAAACAACAGTAAACAGCAGTAAACAACAGTATATCTTAGAATGAGATATAATAACGTGACGAGTCACTCACCAGACGGCGATGCAGATCTCCTCGGTGACGGTGCAGAAGGACGACAGGCTGCAGTTACTGAAGCACACGTTGTCTCTGCACACCGGACCGGTTGCCTCGCACCACTTACACAGGTTGTACCTCAGGTGGCTGAAACCCTGAAAACCTGGAGGACCTGCAGGCCAGAGAGAGACCAGAACCATGAGACCCTGAACACCTGGAGGACCTGCAGG